CAGAAGAGCAGACGCCGTCTTTACTATAAATGAGAAAGAATATTAATGGGCGCAAGCTGAGGTATATAGTATAAAAAATTAGGCCGGGCATGGGGTGGCGCATCCTGTAGTCCCAGCTACCCCGGCGGCCGAGCGAAGGACAGCTCGAGGCCCGGAGTCTGGAGGTATGGCTGTGAGCTAGGCGTGATTGCACGGCACTCACTCTAGCCTGTGGGCAACAAAGCGAGCACTCTGTCTCAAAAAACAAAAAAAAACCAGCCTGAGCAAGAGTGAGACCCCGATCTCGGCTACTATAAAATAGAACAGAACATTAATGGCTACTAACCTATATATAGAAAGAAAATTAGGGCCGGTATGGTGGAGTATGCCTGTAGTCCCAGCTACTCGGGAGGCTGAGGCAGTGAGGATTGCTTGAGCCAGGAGTTTGAGGTTGCTGTGCAGTGCGTGGCATCAGGCCAAGCTCACAGCAACCTCAAACTCCTGCGGCTCACGCTCAAGCGATCCTCCTGCCTCAGCCTCCCGAGTAGCTGGGACTACAGGCATGCGCCACCATGCCCGGCTAATTTTTTCTAAATATATTAGTTGGCCAATTAATTCTTTCTATTTTTGGTAGAGACAGGGGTCTCGCTCTTGCTCAGGCTTGTTTCGAACTCCTGACCTTGAGCCATCCGCCCGCCTCGGCCTCCCAGCGTGCTAGGATTAGAGGCGTGAGCCACCGCGCCTGGCCTGTTCTTTCTTTTTCTTTTCCTGCTAGACAAGGGGAAAGGCCCTCATGTCTGTAGGCACTGTAGGAACATCAGCAAGTTTTCTCAGCTTTTTATTTGACCTGGCCATGTTCATTAAGGAAAGGAATTTTGCTCTATTTGTTTTCAAAGAAATGTTTTTCCCTGTGATTTCATATAATTCAATTATTTGTTAAGAATAGGCTTTTTAGAGGAAACTACTATGATAAGCCCCGTGAATATATTAATAGTAAGTGATGGAGCTACATTGCCAGAGAAGAGAGATTTCCCTGCGTCAGTCAGGGTAAGAGTTGCCTTTTTAAAGAGGATCAGATAAACAGAAGCATATCTTGCCTTCTCTCCACCTACAGGGAGCCGAGCGGAAAATCCGGGATGAAGAGCGAAAGCAGAGCAAGAGAAAAGGCAAGTGCACTGCCCCCAGCTCCCAGGGGATCGCCTGTAAGTAGAACAGTTCCCGCCCGGCTCAGACCCTTCTGTTCACACAGCGGCCGCAGCGTGCGGGCGGCAGATGGGCGTGGGCGGTTTCGCCGCCCTGCAGTGGTGGCACCGCGTCCTTCGTCAGGCAGATGAATGGCTGAACCCGGTGGCTTTCCTGGGGAGCTGCTGGAAGGGTCCTTGGGGTTTCCAGACCTCAGCTTTTTTGGCTGTTGGTTCTAGTTCAGGCTGCTAGTTCCAGCCCTGAAAAATAGCACACGTTCCACGTGAAACATTAAAACCTGTTAAAATTGAGACTTGTCTAGACTTTTAAAAATAGTGATAATGGCCTTTAGAATTCACGATGTCTCAATTCCAAATGCGTATCATTTTCTCACGTACGGAGCAATGTCCTGACATTTGCGGGACCTGTGGGGCTTCTGTTTAGACATTTTACCAGGAAAGCTTTTTTTTCTTTAATGTGACCAATATTCATATTCACAAGATCCTATACCTAAAGGAGACAAAATATTGCTCTGCGCCTGTAGGGTTTCACCTTTGGCACGCGGGCTGCTGGCGGTTCTGCGAGCAGACGTCTGAGCTCACTGGGCAGGGCTCCCCCGGCACCAAAGGGCCAACTCCCAGTGTCGCTTCAGGGGGCAGCTGACCAAGGAGGAAACCTCATTACCGAGTACTTCAGGGCCAGACTGTGGGGGCAGATGGAGTCTATAATTTAATAAATTAAAAATTAGGCAGACCTGCTTACGCTTAACCTCCGTGTTGAGTTTTTGGTATGTTCTGAAGTCAAAAAGGTACATTACTGGTAAAATGTAAATTATTTAATGAGGACCCCTGAGGTAAAATTACTTCAAAGTTTTGTTCGTGCCATTATAAATTGTAGCCTTTCCAATGAAAACTAAATATGGTTTGTCTCTGTCACATATCTTCTGTGTGTCTGTGTGTGTTTAAAGATATCTTTTCTTTTTTGATTTTTGATACAACCTTCATTTTATTTTAGTGGAAATACACACAACAAACTCCTTCACATAAACTGTGATTTTTAATCCGGGCGTGGTGGCTCACGTCTGTGATCCCAGCCACTCGGGAGGCTGAGGTGAGAGATCACTTGAGGCAGGAGTTGAAGACCAGCCTGGGCAACACAGACACTGTCTCTGGGGAAAAAAATTAAACTGTGATTTTTCTCCTAGTCCAGCGACACGACCTGTGTCTTGCAAAGGGCTGCGATTTAAATTTCTTACACGCTGAGGCAAATGCTCTGTGGCCTGCACCCAGTCCTGGATGATCTGCTGACCCTGGCTCGCTCTTTTCTTCCAGTTTCGGACGTTAAAGTGCCGCTGCTTCCCTCTCACAAGCGCATGGACATCACGGTGTTCAAGCCCTTCATTGATCTCGACACTCAGCCTGTCCTCTTCATCCCTGACGTGCACTTTGCCGGCCTGCAGCGGGGCGCTCATGTAGGTGACCAGCACCCCAGGGAGGGTGCCGGGAAGCAAGGCACAGCAGGGTAACGAAGCCAGCGTGGTGAGGTTTGAAGCCAGCGTAGTGAGGTTTGAAGCCAGCGTAGTGAGGTTTGAACCCAGTGTAGTGAGGTTTGAACCCAGCGTAGTGAGGTTCGAGCAGTTAGCTCCTCGGAGTATTCAGCTGGGGTAACATGACGCCCGTGCAGTGAAGTACGTTAAGTGAGCATTGTCCACTTGCAGGTGCAGGACAGACCTGCCAGCTTAGTTCTGCCTGTATTCGTTCATTTATATCCTAGCTCATTTAAAAGATTCTAGAATAGTAACATAATTTGGAGCTTGCATCTACACTCTTGTGCGTTTAGGTGGGGGAATGCCTGGGTAGGGAGCCTTGATGGCACGCAGAGCATCGGAAGGCTCTCTGCTGGCTCCACTCAGTCGTCATTGGCGTGTGTATGCAGCCGTGTGTATACAACTGTGTGTACATAGCCATGTGTATACAGCCCTGTGTGTGTATAGCCCTGTGTATACAACTGTCTGCACATAGCCATGTGTATACAGCACTGTGTGTGTACAGCCATGTGTATACAACTGTGTGTACATACAGCCGTGTGCATACAGCCCTGTGTGTGTATAGCCATGTGGATACAACTGTGTGTACATACAACTGTGTGCATACAGCCGTGGGTATACAGCCATGTCTTGGCAACTAAAGCTAAAGTTAAAAAATAGTCACACCCCATTTGCGGCAAAAGCTTGTGAGAGATAGGAACTTCGGTAGAGTGGAGGATGCTTTTTATGCTGAACTCAACCAAACATGAAAAAGACAGTCTTCCGTGCGCTTTGCAGACAGATTCGTAAGGACTAATGGTCGTTGACAGTTGCTGGGGAGTCATTGCCAGTGTGCTAGCTTCTAATGGGAAGCCCGGGGGCGGGCAGGGCTGGCACACCGGTTCCGTAAGGGCCAGGCAGTGGGTATTTTAGGCTTTGCGGACTGCGCAGTCTCTGCGGTGCTGCTGGGCTCTGCTGCTCCAGTGCCACAGCAGCTACAGACAGCGTGCACGGGAATGCGCGCGGCTTCGCTTCAGTAAAGACTCTTTATACAAACAGGCTTCGGGCCCAATTTGGCCCAACCGCAGGGTTAGAGGAGTTCAGATTATCTGTAAGAATCTGGTTATTGAAAATGTAAGACTAAAGGATTTTGTATCAGATCGGTCAAATTCAAAATTATTTGTATTTTAGGAGTAATTTACTTAAGGGCAAACATTTTGAGCATATAATTGAAAAGCATCTATTTCTTTGGTCTTAGGTCCTTCCCATTGCCTCGGAGGAATTGGAGGGTGAAGGGTAAGATTTATGTTGTATTTTGTTTCAGTAAATGTATTTGATTTTGAAACAATCTGAAACTTATGGAAAAACCGCAGGTACAGAACGAAGAACTTGCTTTTACTGAGCCATTGAGTTGCCAGCCCAGTGAGCCCCCACTCCTGCATACTTGGGTGTTTCCTGCAGACAGGGATGTCCTTCTGTGTCACAGTCAAATCAGGGTATTGGCATCAATGCGTCCATACCGTGTGGGCCTCAGACCTCTTTCAAGTTTTGCCAGTTGCTCCAATAATATTCTTTATAGCAAAAAAGGATCCTGCTCAGAATTCCACGTTGTGGTTAGTTGTCAGGTCTTTTTCATCGTCTGCAATCTCAGCCTTTTCTTGACTTTTCCGACCATTACTTCTGAAGATTACAGACCAGGTGTGTGCAGACTGTCCGTCAGTTTGGGTCTGTCGTTTTCTCGTGATTAGACTGAGGTGCTGCATCTGGCGGGTGTCGTAGCAGCAATGCCATGTTCTCAGTGCAGCCTGTCAGTCTGTCCCCTTACGCATGGTGTTCACTTTGGTCGCTTGGTTGAGATGGTGTCTGCCGGCTTCTCCACCGGAAGTTGCTCTTTCTCCTCGTGTGATGAGTGTTGTCAGGGGAGGGGCAGCATAGCTTTGTAAATATCTCATTCCCCTTCAGGCTTCCAATCGATTCATTAATTTATTTATATCAGTATGGACTCAGAGTCTCCTGTTTTATTCAGCAGGTTGTGATCCATCACTGTCATGTGCTGTGATGCTCTGATTGTCCCAGAATTGGTCAGTGGAGCCGTTCCGGCTGGCTCCTGGCCCCCTCTGACCTGGCCCTCCTGCTTGGAGCACGTCCTTATGCTCCGCACTGGTATTTCCCTTTTCCAGGCCCAGGATCGGCCTCTTCCCCAGGGAACCCTGCTCCCTTTGGTGGAGAATGGCCTTTAGATCCGGAAGTGTGGGCTCTGCCTTCCCTGCCGGGTGGCACCACTGACACGCCTGCCAGGCTCCCCACGCCAGCCTGCTCAACCCCACCTTGCCTGTCCTTCCTGGTGGCGCCAGGACTGAGTTTTCCCAGAAGGGAAGAGTCTTTGGTTTTTAAATCTCCCTTTTCTCTGGACACCGACCCATCCTCAGGAAAGCGCACAGGTTTGAGGAGTGTTTGTCCCTCGTTCCCCTCTTCCCTCATCATGATCCATTCCCGAGACTCGAACTGTCATTTTGGGGACACTCACCCAGGCGTGTTTCCGACTGTGCTTCTCTCTGAAGGCCAGGCCCTGCCGCCTCGATAGTTCTTAGTGTTTCAGACGTGAGTCCGACAGGCACTTCCGCTGGTGCCTGTCACGTGCTAGGAACTGGGGTGAACGGAGCACCCGTCCCTGAAGGGATCGTTCTGCTCAGGACCCAGCGTCCCTCCTTCATCTTCCGAGACTGACTCTCCTGTAGCTTCCCGACCCCTGACCCCCTCTAGCGGACCCTCCTCAGCAGGTGCTCAGAGCTGAGCTCTGCCCGGTCGTTCCTCCGCCCACACTCCCCTTTTGTTCCCACCGACGCTTCTGTGTTTTGGACCTTTAGAACCTTATGCTTGTCACCAGAGTCCTGCAACTGGTTATTCTGCTCGTAGGTCTGGAGTCCCTCCAGTCTTGCCACACGCTCTAGGCACAGCATTCTGTCTCACCAAGCTGTCAGAGTCCCTCTTAGCTGTGACATACAGTCTGTTCTTCCTGAGAGCTGAACCTTCGAGGTGGCAGCAGTAGAGCCAGCCTCCCCTTCCATATCTGTCTTCCTGTGGGACGTTCTGTCTCAGCCAGCCCTGGCGTTTCTGCTCACGCCTCTCAGTGTGGGAAATGCCCTCTCCTTTAGCACCACCCATGCGAGGTTGTCTCAGAGCCTACTTCCTCCATAACATTTTTCCTGAAAAGAGGCATGGGAGTGTGGCAGGTGGCAGGCGGCAGATGGCAGGTAGCCTGCGTGTGGCCCAGGCTAATGTCCAGGAGCCCCGGTGCAGTCAGTGTCTTTCCTCAGGCCTCAGGTTTTTCATCCACAAATCAGGAAGCTGGACCAGATAAAGAATGAAAGTCATTTCAAACCTAAAATCCAGTGGTGTGCCCTAAAATGTCCCTCACGGTGTGTTTTGGACTGCCTGCAGCTCCGCCTTGAAAAGGGGGCCATATGGCACGGAAGATGACTTTGCTGTCCCGCCTTCTGCTAAGCTGACCCGGGTAGAAGAACCAAAGAGAGGTGCGTTGGTTTACATTTCTTAGTGGGTTCTGAGTCTGTCAAAAGCATGAACTGCTCAAAGGCATCTTGCCCAGTTTCACTTTTTGAGATGTCTCCCATCGGACCAACATCTACCTTGAACTGGGGCGTACAGCAGAGCTGAGAGAAGCTGGAACATGTGTTCCTTAGGACAACTTTTATATTGGCTCGTGCTTGTCGTCCTTGATGTGAATGTTTTTTATTTTAACCAGTACCCAAGATCTGTTTTCCTATTTTGCTCATGTGAATTAACTGCATCCTATTTTTCTTTTTTCACTTCTTCCTTCCTGGCTGGGGGTTGATTAGTGCTGCTCTACGTTCGAAAGGAGTCAGAAGAAGTTTTTGATGCCCTCATGCTTAAGACCCCGTCTTTGAAGGGCTTGATGGAAGCTGTAAGTAGAATCAGCTCTGTAATCCCCTTTAAAAACGAAAATAGGATTCCACTGGAACAAATTTCAGCAGGTCCACATTCTGTCGTATCTTCGCTGGAATCATTGCCACTCAGTCCTGTCTGTTCCGCTGCATTGAATGGATTCTTGATGGCCTCTGAAATAGTTTAATTTTATATACTTGCTTAAAGGGAGAGTGCCATTTAGCAAACCATTTAGAACTTAACAAAAGTTATGTTTAATCAAATAAAATCTTGAAAACTTCGTACATAAAAATAGTAGCTCCTCAGTCTGCCTTTGAAACTCCTGATCTTAGGGAATTACTGAACTGGTGTCAAAACCTTACCCAGAGCATCTTTGAGAAAATTTAGGGGTGTAACCAGTGATGGCCATAAATCCTTCCTACAGGATGTCAGCACAGGGCTGGAGTGAATGATCCCATATTCCCTTTTAGGATACCAGTGAGCGAGGTGACCGGGAAGGACACTGCGTGGCTCCCCATCTTGGCTTTGCCCTATGGTAGAATTCAAGTAATCGGCACCATAGCCTGATGTTTACTGACCTCAGTCCCCTGGAGACCATAGAGATGTTTAAGCCACCAGGCAGATGCTGTGGCTCACACCTGTAATCCTGAGAGGCTAAGGTGGGAGAATTGCTTGAGCTCAGGAGTTTGAGATCAGCCTGAGCAAGAGCAAGACCCCATCTCTCCTAAAAATAGGAAAATTAGTCGGGTATGGTGGGCTGTGCCTCTAGTTCCAGCTACTCTGGAGGCTAAGGCAAGAGGATCGCTTGAGCCCAGGAGTTTGAGGTTGCTGTGAGCTAGGCTAATGCCACACACTCTAGGCCGGGCAACAGAGCAAGACTCTGTCTCAAAAAAAAAAAAATCTTTGAGTTCGAAGTGTGTGCATAACCAGGCTGGAAATGTGTCTCCCTGGCCCCTGACAACCATGGTTTGTTAGATTCATTTAACAAAACTTGATTCAGGGCTTGCTGTGTACCAGGCACTTTTGTAGGCTCTGGACTCACAAGAGTAAGGGACAGGGTGCTGGGTGGAGTCCGCCTCCCAGTTGGGAAGACAGAGAACATAAAGTAAGCACAAAAATTAAGACATCGTTTTTCAAGTACTGCCAAGGGTAGTGAAGAAGGGAGCGGGATGAGGGGTGTGGGTTTGGAAGCCACTGCGCATCTCTGGGGGGCCTGGAGCCCGGGGCGCCCCCCTGCTCACACCAGCTCACCTCTCCAGTTTCTCTTTATCTGGTCTCTTGGCGACCCTTTGTCATTTCTTACAAGGTATGAAACTCTTGATTATGGGGAGAGAGGAGAGTGTGAAAAAGAGGGAGAATCGCTGCATTATATGCAAAGTTATCATCCAGTGATACGAATAAAAAGGGCTTGCTTGGTAGGAGCACAGAGCTGCGAGTTGGTCTGAAATGCACGTTTTTAAAAGATCGGCAGGGACCTGAGGCTTAGTCTGCCGAGGCCCAGTTGTCAGCACTGCCTTGAACCTCGCTCCACAGGGTGAGGTGAGACAGTGACTTTACCTCGAGAGTGGCTGGACAATCCCAAATAAAGTATTTGATCTAGACTGTTTGTCCTTGGAGTCATCCGCCCATTCTCTTTAAAAATCACCTCCGTGCCCTGAAAAGAAGACGTCAGAGTTTGCACGGGAGTGACGTCACTGCGTCGTGGCCGCTCGCAGGCCCTGGTCCTGAGGGGAGGCCGAGGGCCCTTGAGGGACACTCGTGGGTCTTTCCCGTGTCTTTGTGTGTGCATTTTTTTAAAAATAGAAAGTGACACTCTCTGTATATAATTATTTATGTATATGAAATTTAAATAGAAAACTTGTTTACGATGTCTATTCAAGACATATTAAAAGATGTTTGCTTTGAAAAGACCTGAAAACAGACAATTTTACCGTTTTTCTCCTTTCTTTGCTCTTCTTTCAGATTCAGACATAAATGACGTTTCCGCGCATGAACAAGAATCGGGAAAAAAAGAAATAATTCCAAGAAGTGTAAAAAAGGGGTGAAAGCAGCGACGCGTTGCGCCAGTGGCGACTCTGAAGCCCGGACGACCCCGTTGCCAAGTTTTGGGCCCCCGCGCCGGGCGCGCGCAACACCGTCCACCGGTGCCCAGTCCCAGAAAAGCAGGCCCGTAAGAAGACACATGCTAAGCATGGGTTATTTTCTTATAAATTTTTACGGATAGAATTGATCTGCCTTCAAAAGACGATTCTTCTTGGATTGTTCCAAGGTGAAGTTCTTTTTATCCGGCTGTCCGGTGGCGTGCGGCAAAAAATAGTGAAGCGGCTTTCGTGCTCGGGCGAAGCACGGCTGGGGACAGCCGTAATCACACACAGTGAGCCCGGCGTGAAGCCAGCACCGCCCAGGCAACTCTCCGCGAGCTTTTGCTCGCTGAGTTTTTTTTCAATTGTCATCTGTCGCGAGGCCTCCACTGCGGCCCTCAGGTACTGGTTTTGCAGACGGGCTAGCTGAAGCCCCGAAGGGCGGGGAAGGCTCCAGCTTCTGCGCAGCCTGTTTTGTAGACAGGTTGGAGCCGGGATTCGCAGGTTCAAGCTTGCTGGGCCCTGAAAAGCTCTTCTGTGCTTTCCTGGCTTTCTGCCGTCCTGCTGGGCCGTAGTTCTGTTTTCTCAAGTTGTATAATGTTTTTCCTTTCTTTGTCCAATTATTTTCTAACTTTGTCCTTGCTTTTTGTTCTTTTTTTGGCAATGGATAAGGCGAGGGATAGCATAAAAAGTCTCTTTTGCTTTAAATCTAAAACATTCTAAACTGGAAAATTTTTTAAGATGAGGTCTAAGTGAACAAAGTATCTTGAATTATAGTAAGTTCATATCCACGATTTACGGATAAGCCGCGGGCAGGGTCGCGCCCTTTCTACGCCTGTACTCTTTAGCATCTGGGGGCCAAGGCTAGGGTGGAAATTTGCTTCCGACGGTCCAGGAGTTTACACAAGCCGCCGCCGGCCGGGCGCTGCGTGGCTCCACGCTGTTAAAGTTCCTCGCCTCCTGGCGCGACGCGCGCCGGCGCGCGCCGCGCGCGCTCGGCTCCGCGGCTTCGCGCAGTCTCCTTTCTTTCAACCCCCTGCAGCAAGAGCGAGAAACCCCCGCCGTTTCCCGTATACTCATAAACTAGCAAACCGAATTCATCTGGACCATGATATATATATATACCCCCCCGCCCGACTCAGCCGGCGGCATCGGCTTGCCGTGCGCTGCTCACCTTCCCCCGTACCAGGAAGGCTGCAGGCAGACAGACCGGACCCATCACCCTCGAGCCAGGCACGCCTCTGAAAGGTCTTGCTGTGAGACTAGGCATAGACGCCAGCGGCACTGACACTCCTACCTGGGCAACAAAGCAGAGACTCTGTCTCAAAAAAAAAAAAAAACCAGCCTGAGCAAGAGTGAGACCCCGTCTCTACTATAAATAGAAAGAAATTAATTGGCTAACTAATATATATAGAAAAAAATTAGCCGGGTATGGTGGAGTATGCCTGTAGTCCCAGCTACTCGGGAGGCTGAGGCAGTAGGATTGCTTGAGCCCAGGAGTTTGAGGTTTTTGCTGTGAGCTAGGCTGACGCCACGGCACTCACTCTAGCCTGGGCAACAGAGTGAGACTCTGTCTCAAAAAAACAAACAAACAAAAAAAAACAAACTTTGGGGATAACTTACCAGAGAAGATAATTTGTCAGGGAAATGGGGCTTCAGGTCATGTAATTAACTTTATTCAGTTGCTTTCCAAAGCAGGACCAGTGAAATATTCCTTGTATGGATTTATTTTGTTGTATTATAATAAGTACCATTTATAAAGGACTACTGCATGCCAGATGTAATAATACATAAGCTAGTATTTTTGGTATTTTGCTGTGATACAAGTGCTTGTACTCAGTTCCCTCCTTATTTAATTTTTCTCAATCTTATAAGGGGGGCACTATTATTGTCCCCATTTTATAGATGAGGAAGTAGAGGCTTAGGGAGGTTTAAATATTTGCCTCCTATGTTCTAGCTGGTAAGTGGCAGAGCTAATGTTGGATCTAGGTGTGAGTCCAGAGGGGCGGGAACGAAGTCGTTTGTCTGTCTGTCTTCCAGGATCCTGGTGAACATGGATGACAACATCGTGAAGCATTACTCCAATGAAGACACCTTCCAGCTGCAGATCGAAGAAGTGGGGGGGTCGTACAAGCTCACCCTGACTGAGATCTAGAGCCGGAGGGCCCGCAGCCCCCATGCGATCAATGAAGGTGTCACTAGATCTTACGGCTCGGCGAGCCCCGGCTCCCCAGTCAGCAACCTCGTAAACACAGGCGGTGACAAGGGAAGGGATTCCTTTCGAGTTGGAGTTGGAGCTGCCTTTGGCTTGGAGATAGCGTTTAATTTATTGCATTGGCGTTTTTCAGATGACAGAGAAATCCTTATACCACTGTTTGAATTTTCTGATATATTTAGGATTAAAAGTGAAGAATTTGTTCCAGGATTTAACAGAGCTTCTGAGAACCTTTAGGATATCTGCTACATTATTTATCAAAATACTGGGATAGCTGCCTTGTCCCTGCACTATTGGTGGGCCCGCTCGCTGGTGGAAGTCAGGAAAGCAGCAGGCTTGGCTCTGAGGACGGGGCGCCCTCGCCTGGACTCCGCGTAACTCCGCTGCCCCAGGTCCCTGGGCGCGCCTGAGGGGTAAAGGGCTGAGTGCTTTCTCCCTTAGCCTCTCACCCTCCAATAAATGTTTACTAAAATAGGGCATGTTACCGAAATCTTCCTTTGCAACTTTCTTGGACATATCAGCTGCCTTTCGTATGAAGAATTTACATGGGTTACAGTAGGAAATCAGTTAAGATAAAGCTGCATTGTATATAAGTGCAATATATATTTGAAGGTCTGTGTCTGTAAATGTGTACATACATGTCTTATATAGATATATAATATATAAATACGGTGTCTTGTGTACATACAGTGAGGATATGCAGTAAGATCTGCCTTAAAGAGTTTCTCTAGACAAAAGGTTAAGTTATTTTTGATAATGTATACCAACTGGATAGAATTCCTTGCTTAGTGGAACCCACTAAAAACCTGTTTTCTGTTGTGTTTTCCCAAACACAAGCAATCATTCCATAGCATAGCAAAACCTCAAATGACACATTCTGTTTGCTATGGAGAATGTTATCATTTGGATTTCTGCACTGTTTAACCAATGAAGAAAAAGGACAGCACTGCTGTAATTCATGTCTGTTGTATATGCTGGTGTCAGTCAGAGGCACCTACATAGAGTGAGCACACAGTAATTACAACATACACATTGTAATGATTGTGCACCAAGTGATACAACTCAAAACGGAGTTCTTCCTAATCTTCCTGTTGTAAGAAATGATCATTTTATCATGTTCAGAGCCTTCAAGCTTTATCTTTGATGTTAACAATTCTAGAAAGCATTCACAAATTTATAAGACTATATTACCATGGCAGGGGAACATTTTGTATACATGTTTAAATATATTAAAATACTAAAAAATGTAATTTTATAACAAAAATCACGGGTATCTTTAGGTTCAGGGAACTAGAATAGGTCATTTATATAAGTAGGATTGATAGTGACATTCTTAGGTTAGAATATTCTAATGAAGTATGTGAAC